TTTTCCCTCCCTCCCCCCTCCTTTCATAAAGCACTACCTTCTACATGAAGGGTTCTTCAATCCCCTCAATCACCAATGTTTTAATGCCTTCATTCCCTAACTACCATGTATTCCGTTATTTACTCATATTTTTTTCTGTTTGTTACTCTCTTCTGTTCATGCTTATCTCTAAACTTTCTGTCTCTCCCTTTAGAATGTAAGCCCCTTAAGATTAGGTATTGTTCCATATTTAAAATCCCCTGTCCCTAGCATATTGCCTGACACAGAATAGATATTTATTAAATGCTGATTGCTTGACAGGAGTAGATTGTGTGACCCTGAACAAGTCACTTTGCCTCTCAATACCTAGGAAACTTTCTAAGATTATATATTGCAGAGAAGATGCAGATGTGCATTGGTAGAAACTACTTCATTTAGATATCACAAGTCCACTCCCACCCCATCACAAGAATTACTTACAAATGTTAAAAGAACTGATGGAAATTCACATCATCGTCTGTAATGGTGTGTACTTGAAAATAGTCGCTTTTCTTAAGGAGGGAAATATTGCCCTAAATTTGTTTCCACTGTTTGGGAATAATCCCTCTAATCATTGACAGAGCCAAGGGGAAATTCAGTCTCAACCCTATGGTTTAAATGATCACAAACTTCAAATCTGTGAAGCTGAATTAATGGGATTCTATGACATAGTCAAAATTAAGCACAAGTAAGAGAATGCAGGATAAATGTGTGTGTGTGTGTGTTTTTTTAATTTCCTTGGCACTTCAAACTAATTGCATTTATACAGCACGGAACAATTGCATCTCTGTGAGAAGCTTTGTGATCAGAAATATGATAGAAGGTAAAGTGGAGTAATGTAAGCTCTTGGATAGTGAGTCCTCTAAGCCCATTGCCAGTATGGATCTGGCCATAAGAAATGTTGATACTTTGCTAAGCAGTAGGCATAGTGATTTGGATGTCTCTAATCTTGCATAGCTTTTGGTGTAAATATATAATATCCTGTGAGATTAGGAAAGATACAGGCTTCGCTGTCACTGGTAACGTAAGATAGGCATGTTTTGTTTATTCTCAACCATGTCAAGGTTTTTCACAGTTAAAAAAAAAAATGAGAAGTTTTCTGAGTTCACAGTGACTTATGCCATACAACATTTATGGTTCCAGATGTAAATACCTAAAGCTCAGAGCAGAAGCTGCTAGGAGCAGGTCTGTGCCAGACACGAAATGATTGGGGCAATGTCATGGGAGAGACTGCTCAGAGCAATGAAGATGATCTAGCAACACTTTCTCTTGATTTCTTGGCCCAGATTCCCTTTCAATGCATACCTGCATTGAAAGTGATCATTCTTCCAAAACCTGCCTGTGAGAAGAAGAGATACTTCTAGGTGGTCACTTCCAGTGTATTGGCTGTAAAATATCACAGACCAGTAATGGCATCTCAGTAAAATTCTAAGAAACTCTAGGTGAGCTTGGGGAAAACTCTGGATTTCAACAAATATTTTCCTTTCTCAGAGGTTTTATTTTCTGGAATGAATGGATGACTCTCTGATACAAACATGTCATCTTAAAAAATAACACTTTCCAGGCATATGTATTCCAGTTGGTTAGAGGTGGGGTAGGGGTTGATGGTTGGTGATTTATCGTACACCAGTCACTTAGTTCAATGTCATCTTTAAATGCCAAATATGGTGGCTTCAAGTGCAATCAGAGGCTTTTTACAGGATGTCCTCATTAATATTTACATTTCAGGTTGCACATTTTTCATAATGATTAGAAAAAGGTGCCATTGTGAGAAAATACAGTTTAAAAGTTTCACAAAGAAGGGTACTAAAGGGGAGAGGGGAGAGGAAAGGAAGTATGGAGTAGTGGAAAAATTATTTTGGATATGGGGTGACGTTATATGTTAATTATTCTGCTTACCAATTATGTGGCACTGAACAAGTCTCTTAGCCTCTCTGTCACTCAGTTTCCATATCTGTAAAATGAGAGGGTTCTTTCCAGCTCCAAATCTATGACCCATACATTCCATAGCATTATCAATGTTAAAGGGATAGGAACTGGACTGTGATTTCATTGACAAGGGGAACTCTGCTCTTATCATTCCAAGACAGAGCTTTCTCTACAACTTAAAGACTAAGACTTGCTTGGTGGAGTGAGAGCTGAAGTTGATGACTTTTGTGCAGTTTCCTGAGGAAACCATACTCAGCAATTTTAAAGTCTAAATAAATAATTTTGATAATTTGTGATATTGTTTGTATGGGTCTTCCCTCTATTTGTTGTTCAGTTGTTTGGGTTTGTCCAGTTCTTTATGACCCCATTTGAGGTTTTCTTGGCAAAGATATTGGAGTGATTTGTCATTTCCTTCTCTAGTTCATTTTATAGATGAGGAAACTGAGGCCAATAGGGTTAAGTGACTTGCCCAAGGTCACACAGCTAGTAAGTTTCTGAAGCCAGATTAGAACTCAGGAAGATAAGTCTTCTTTACTCCAAGCCTGGAACTCTATCACTGGCCACCTAGCTGCCTTTCCTCTATACATATAGGTGTTTTAGGCTAGCGGTGGATATCTTAATGGTTTTGTTTGTGTGGCTCTCCACAGGTGTAGATCAGCTCATTTTAGTAGAGACCACAATGGGTTCCCATAGCTTCTCCTCCTCTCTTTACCCCACAGCCCCCCACTTCCCTCTAAAAAAAATTAATTGGTAGCCAACTCTGGTGATAAACCTGTCTGAAAGTAGTATTTGCATGACAGTCCTATCACAGTAGTCCTGCTAATGGACTGGTAATTGAAGCTTTGCCAGTTTTATAGAAACTGCCCAAGAAGCCAGGCTCATCTCTATTTCACAATGGGACTTGGAAGAATGATCTTAGCAGAGGAATTTTAAATCATTTGTGAACAATCAGGAGACTGTCAGGTGAAGAAAACATGTCAAGATTACTCAACAGGTATCTCTTTTTTAATCTTGGTGAATGGAAACACTGATGCCATGACTTGAGACAAGTGATAAGCAAAGTGATCTATCATTCTTGCTGCAACCCCTAAAGAAAATGGCGGTACATTGGTAAAGCCCTTCTTAGCACCTTTCAACTTTGGATTAGTAACACCAATGAAGGGAAAGCCTCTGGACAGATAAAAATAACTTCACAAATGGAGTAGCTCCTTCTATTTTCACCAGCTGTTAAGGCAGATGTTTTGATGAAGGATGGTTCTTGGAAGCCATGAGAGGAAGAATTGCTCTATAACCAGGGATGTCATTCTGGATCCAGTGGAGGGAACCACCAAGGCTGAACAGGTCATGCCTGGGAGGTTAGGAGGAGGCTGCCAGGGACTTGATGTATTTCTAAAGTTAATGGTCCCCATGCTGGCTTTCATTCTCCAGAAGGGATGCACATCCAGGGGAAGGGAGTTAAGTCTAGAAATCTTGAGGCAGAATTTTTCCTGACCAAATTTACAAGTCTCTGTCTGTCTCTGTCTGTCTTTGTCTGTCTCTGTCTCTGTCTCTGTCTCTCTCTCTTTCTCTTTCTCCCTTTCTCCTCTTCTCTTTTCTCTCTGTCTCTATGCCCCCCATTCTCTCCTTCCCTCCCTCCCTCCCTCTCTACTGTCACACACACATACATGAATATACACATATATATATGCATTTACATTGTATATATCAAATGATATAATATATAAAGATAAGCATATGCATATGTGTGAGGCAGCTTGCTTAGAATAGAAGATGGGGATCCATCCTCAGAACTGATAATATCTGGATTCAAGTCCTACTTCTGGCACATGAACTCTGTGACTCTGGGCAAAGAACATAAATTCTCAGTGCCCCAGGAAATGCCTTAAGACTCTAAGTTGTGGGGGAAACCTCAGTCTGCATAGACAGAGGGAGAGTTCCTTCTTCATGAGCTTTCTACCTCAATTAAGTCATAGGTCAGGCCCAAAAATACAAAAAAATTCATAGATGGAAATACATTAATAATAAAAATAGCTAACATATATATATATATATATATATATATATATATATATATAGTGCCTACTATGTACCAGGAACTATGCTAACAATTTTGCAAATATCTCTTTTGATCCTCATAATAACTCTGAGAAGTAGATGCTATTGTTAATCCCATTTTACAGATGAGGAAACTGAGGCAGACAGTGGTTAAATGAGCTGCTAGATTCACATAGCTAGTAAGTATCAGAGGCTGGATTTGAACTCAGATCTTCCTGACTCCAGGCCAAGAGGTCTATCCACTGTACTGCCTGTGTGGCTACGGAGATACATGTAGACTCTATGTTTACATGGCAATAAGTTGATCTTTTAAACTAGTGTTAAATAGGCACCTCTTTTCCTCTACAAGCATTTAATAGTTTTTGAGCTGCTCATTTACATAATAGGCTATGATATCTGTCTCCCATTATTGCATGCAGATACCTGGAAAGGAACCAGAGCCTGTTATTTAATTTAAAAAGAAAAACAAAATATTAAAAATAAAATCTTGATATTGAGGGAAGGCAGGAGGGAAGGGCAGAGAGAAATAAGAACAAAATAATCTTAAAAAAACTCGGGGATATAAGTCAAGAAAAAAGACAAGCCCTTATTTCTTATTGTGTTACTCTCCACTTTTTTCTTGCATTTCTGTCAACACGTCAGGAGTGCTTGTCAAGAGTATTATTTTTAACCATGATACAAATTAAGGGGAAAAAAATTACCAAGCATGTAGATTCACATGGAAAATCTATCATGGCTACTACTCCAAACCATGCATGTGCCTATGTGAATGCATATGCATGTGTGTATGTGTATAGATATGCACCCATGTATGCATTTGCTTGTCCTTGTGTATATATGTATGTTCTGTGTACATATGTTTATCCATCCATCCATTCCCCCCCCCACCAAGGATCATCTGAGTTTTATATTGCACCATGTAGCTGTAAGACTGGATCTCCAGATAAAGGTAAAAAACACTAATTTTTTCCTTTAATTCTTGGTTATTTTGACTGCAGACGGTACCACAGGGACACCAGCAATATCAACTGCAGCCACCGTGGAAATTAGAAAGAGCAGTGTTATGACACCAGAGATCACCTCCAAAGTGGAAAAGACCCCCACCCCTGCCACCCCTGGCAACCACGGCTCATGTCCTTCTGCAGAGACTGAGGAAGAGAAGGCCAAGAGGCTCCTGTATTGTTCGCTATGCAAGGTCGCTGTCAACTCGGCCTCCCAGCTGGAGGCCCACAACAGCGGTGAGATGTAGCGATTTCTGTCCTGTCTCAGCAGCTCCACAATTATCTTCCTCGGAATAGATTAGATCTTTCTGGGGCAGGGGACAAAAAGGTGGCAGAAAACTGCAATTACAAAGGATTCATTAGCCATTAAAGAATTAAAACGACAAGCGGGATGTCACATAAGGAACGGGAGCGAGGCGAATGCTTTGCAAAGCCGTACTTTGTTGTTGTTATTGTTGTTTTCGTTGTTATTTTGCATAAAATTCAACTTTTGGAGATGGTGTGTCAGAAAAAGTTACCTTTATGTCCTACACCCAGTAAGTCCTTTGGTTTTGGGGGCGTACTCAAATGCAAACCTACTGGTTTTATTTTTCCCCATAAAGTGGCCACCATCACCAACCCTGCTTCTCTCCGAACTATTGCTGTTATCTTAGGCTGAGTCCATATGGCCAAGAAGAATTATAAACACAGCCAACCTTGATTACTTTAGTTTCCTGGAGAAGCACTGAGTCATCTGTGAATGTAAAGGTGGCTTTCGATCTCATACATTAAGACGATCTACATTAATGTGTTTCAATATGTAAACCAAGGTAGAGAGATCATGCCTTAGAGTTGTCTCTCCTCTTGCTAGCTCCCCGAAACAACATTCCAGTGTACCTCTTTCAGTGTTAGGCAGAAAGCAATCACGTTGAATTAATTCATACTACTATGTGATTGACTGATACCCCCCTCAGCATCTCCCAGAATCGTAGAATCCAGATCAAGAGCTGGGAGAGAGCACAGAGGCCATTCACCTAAACCCTGCCATTTTTAGCAGATGAGAAACCTGAGATCCAGTGAGGTTAAGTGATTTGCCCAAGATCACATAGATAGTGAGCCTCAGTATTGGGATTTTAACCCACATTTTCTGATTCCAGAGCTAGAGATCTTTCCGTTGGCAGGCATCAGAGAAATGAGAATCTTGGTTCATCCAAATGAATCCCCAGTCATGGCAATGTGACACATGGAAATGAACAAATGTAGGCAGTGTGGTGGAGTACTTTTTTTTTTTTTCAACATGACAATGATTATCTGGGGAAGCCAGGAGTAACAGTGATTGTCGTGGTGGTTCAGTCATTTCAGTTGCGACCCTATTTGGGATTTTCTTGGCAGAGATATTGGAGTCTTTCATCATTTAATTTTCAAGCTCATTTTACAGATGAGGAAACTGAGGCAAATGAGGTTAAGTGACTTGCCTAGGGTCACACAGCTAGTCAGTGTCAGAGATCAGATTTGAACTTAGGAAGATGAGTGTTCCTGACTGTAGGCCCAGTGTTCTATCCACTGCACTACCTAGCTGCCCCATACAGTCGACAGTGCCCCAGTATAGTACTAAGTGTCCTAAATTTGGAATCAAAGACATGGACACCAATACTTGCTCTTCCATACATCTAACAAGTCACTTCACATTTCTTGCTCTTAGCTTCTTTATCTGTAAAATGAGGGAGTAAGATAAGATGCCCTCTGAAGTATCTTCTAGTTCTAAATCAAAGATCCCATAGTCTAATGAAATATTTTACTTCTATGCCATCGCACCATAGCCGTTTAGAACTGTCCTACAACGTGATGTTAAACAAGTTCCTCATGTCTTTGGGCCATAATTTTCCCATATGTAAAATGAGGGAAGAGGGTAGATTAGGTGACCTCTGAATTTCCTCCTAGTTCTCAATCTATAATTCTGTATTTCTTCCCAATATGTTTTTCCTATTCCATTCTAAAATAATCATATAGCATATTGCCTTCAATTATGAGAAGAAATCTCCCCAGGCACCACATTTTCCCTAATGTCTTCTAAAGGATGGAATTCGTTGGCCATAATTACAATGAAAAAGAGATCCTCAATGAAACTGGTATAAACCCAAGATTTAATAGAACAACTTTATGCTGACAGAAGGGTGCCAAACCCATCAGCATATGCCAGCTATTGACTTTGAAAATCTAATGCAGTAATTGCCCAGGGAGACCAATTCTTTTAGCCCTTATCTGCCTTCTGCATGTGAAGTTCTATTAGAATTCACTGAGAGTTCATGGGTTCAGGGGCAGAGATGCACAGAGAAAATTTGGCCCCAAGTCAAAATCTATAGTCTACAGATGCATGGTGTGTATTCTTGTTGTAACAAAGAAACTGAAAGATTAAAAAAAAAAATTGGAAGTTCAATTATTTCTCAAGAAGACTGAACCATTCACTACTCTAACATGATAACATTAATTTTGGGGAGAAGATCAATTCACCCAGCCATGTTCTGAGCAGATAAATGAATTGTGTTCTTTGGGCCTGAAGTTAATTTCTAAAGGAAATGGGAATCAATCTCCAATTTTCCTCAGCAATGTGTGATTCAGAAACAAATAAGAAAAGCAAGTTGCTTTGGCTCTGACTCTTAAGATTGAGGGAGCTTGAGGTGGGAAATGAACTTGCCATAGGGGACTCTGGGAGAGGAAACTCCTGTTAATGGAGTTCAGGAATTTTCCAGTAACTTACAGTCTTAGAGATATGATTAGTGTACTGACAAGTTGAATGATTTGTCCAGCATCACATAGCCAGTAGGTACCACAGGTAAGAAGTAAACTCAGATCTTCCTGCCTCTAGAGACAGTACTCCATCTGCTCCCCAAGCTGCTCTGGGTGACAAGTCAGGAGACTTCCGAGTTCTGCTGCAAGATATACTACTGATTTTGTCTTTTGGGGATCTGGGACAATTGGGCAAGTAACCTCTCTAGACCCCCTTATCCTTAAGAGAGACAGCGATCCATGAATGAAGAAGCATTTATTAAGTACCTACTATAAGCCACACATTATGCTAAGTATTCGGGATACAAATGAAAAGTTGAGACAGTTCCTGCCCTCAAAGAGCTTATGTTCAACTGGGATAATATCATGTCCTTGACTTTCTTCCAAAGGTTTTCAGGAGTGAATAAAACCTGTTATTCAAATTGTTGCTAAAACAATGACAATCTCTCAGGTGTATTCCCTTTTCATGAATTCTATGTGTTTAGATGATGTTTCTTTTACTTTTCTGTTATTGTCTTTCATTTCAATCTGAAGGAAAATCTCATGAATTCAGGCTCTAATAACTTGGAGCCTGTCATAACTTGAGCAAAATCTTGGCTAAAATAGCTTTAGCATCTTATCTGTGATGAAAAATTCTGGAGAACTGGAAAGATCAGAGAGCTAACTGTTTTCAGGTGTTTAAGAAGCCTCTGTTTATTTGTCAATAGGTATAGAGTCAATAAGGCCTGAGTTCAAATCATGCCTCACAGACTAACTGTGTGACCCTGGGCAAGTCACTCAACCTCTCTCAGTCTCTGTTTCTCTATTTGGTAAAATGGGAATAATAATAGCACCTACCTCCAGGGTTGTTGTGAGGCTCAAATAAGATAATATATGGAAAATGCTCTGAAATATTAAAGTGCTATAAAAATATCAGCTATTATATGCTAATTACAAATAATTTTTATCTGTTCTTTAAAGGAATCCCTTTTCTCCCTGCCCCTCCCCCCAAAAATGTATCTTCCCCCACACCTGGAAGACATATCTTCCTTTTTTCTAAAGGCTGGAATTTTTCTCTACTTTCTAGCCCTTTTTTGTTTTCCAACAATAAAACTTATTCAAATCTCTCAACTGAGAGTGATCTTGCTTTCCTTAAATTCTTCTTCTGGACCTCTCCTTAGCCCCATACCATTCCACTTTGCATCATACTTATCTATCCACATGTTATCCCTCCTATTGGACTACGATTTTCTTGAGAACTGGGTCTATCATTTTTCATCAGTGCATAGAACACTTAGTCCAGTTCCAGGAACATAGTAGGCACTTAATAAATACAATTTGACTGTTGCTTAATAAATAATTGTTGAAATTCAAAAAATCAAGCAGGAAATTCTCAGAAGCGTCTCTAACCAATTCATAAACATTCATTAAGTGCCTACTCTGTATCAGGCTTTGTTCTAGGGTACTGGGGATATGAAGACTAAAGAAAATATTCCCTGTCCTCAAGAAGTTTACATTCTGTAAGAGAACAAAATAGTATATACATCTATAAACACATATAAGACACACCCAAAGCCAAAACATTTAACCTTTGTTGGAAAGGCATTAGAAGCTAAGGAGACCGTAAAAGGCTGCTTGCAAAGGTTGATACTTGAACTGAGTCTTGAAAGGAGCCAGGGTTTCTAAGAGGCAGCATGAAAGAGAGAAAATATTCCAGGCATGGGAGACAATCACCAACTGGAACCAAGAGGGGAGACGGAGTATCATGCGGGTGGGAGAAAGAGAGAGCCCATAGGACTGCAATGTGCTGAGTGGAATCATGCTACCATAGAATGATAGCTAACAGAGTTAGACAGCCTTCTGCTTCCTGGTGGCAGTGGACCATGTGGATTGGGAGGGAGAAAGAAGAAAGAATTTGTCCTTCCCATTTTGAATCGAGTCAGCTCCTAACTCTCCAGATGACTTTTCCACCTTGACTTTGAGTACCCCACCACCACCATAGTTCCTTTCTATGCTGTCTTCTCCCATTAGAATGTAAGCTCCTTGAGGGCAGGGACTGCTTTTCTTTTTGCTTGTATTTGTATTTCCATAGTTTAGTATGGTTCCTGACATATAATAAGTACTTAATAAATTTTTTATCTAAAATATAATCTAATCTCCCCCTCACATTGGCTGTGTAACCATTTTGTTTTAGGAGACATTCTGAAATACCAATGTTTGTCACGAGCACTTTAACATCTCCTTTTCTTCATTAATTATATTATTACCATTGTAATAATAAGTATATTGTGAATATTATACTAAGTACATTATTTATATTATAATTATATTATAATAATAAGTAGTTTGTTCATTGCACAGTTCACATTTATAAGGCACTTTAAGGTTTGTGAAGCACTTTCCTCCCCTCAAGGCAGCAGCAGAAATGTTATTATCTCCTTCCTATAGATGAGGAGATGGAGGCTTAACTGGCTAGGTAATTTGCCTATAGT